TGAATGGTAAGAGAAATTAACTGTTTTATATAGTCAATACAACTGGAATATTTGGCAAATATAAGTATATGTAACTATATTCCCAAAAGGTGCTTTACCATATATATAGAGTAATAAGATGGTGACTATAAATCTGTGTTCATTCTACTATATCTTCATGTTTAGATGAACTATAAATATATGTTTGAGGCCAAAACGAACTATAAAATATAGTGAGATTATAGTTATTCCAACTATTTTTTTCTCTCAGTGTAGGAAAAAACGGAACTAAGAAGTTTCTTTTTTCTCAGTGGAATACCTTCGAAAATCTGAAGAATTGTTTTTGTTTTTTGTTTTAAAAATCTTCGAAATAGCGATAATTTTCGACTCACTCTGTTATATTTTTCGTAGCTAAAATGAGAGTAAAATTATCGTGCAGTGATATCGCATAGGAGCTACTGCTATATGTGCCTCGCGTTGGCATTGACTTTCCGGTATCGACGTTGGGCATATTAGGGATTCATTGCACGAGCGGACCACGGGAATTTCGAGGTCTTGCTCGACTCCTCGGTTTAGAATAATCCATATTCTTTTTGTGGGCGTGAACCAGATGCAGAGAGAGGGCTACGCAGTCGCGGTGTCGCCAGGTTACCGTGAAACGTGACTAGAAGAATAAGGCTTTCGATTCTTCCACAACAGCCCGGGCCCATCATGCGGGTTAATAAATCTGCCGTCTTTCATATTCGCCGATCACGCTCGTTCTTCGACTACATTCGCGGAAGGAATACGATTAAGCCGTAATTGGAGTGTCTATATTTTTTGTCCCACTCTGTAAAATCCGTGATCACAAACGCGGCATGGAACTTGACGCAACCCTTTCGCGTCGCGACGCATTTTCGTTACAATACATGATAAACATTGAAAAATTTTCCCATTTTGTATTAATTAATTCTGCAAATCCCGTCGAGCTTGAGGGATCAACAGAGAATCACGAAAAATATATAAATATGATATAAATACTACATGGAGAAAAATAATCTTTTAGCAAAATCGTCGTTGCTACTGCATATTCGTAACATCAAAAAAATCTAGTTGACGTAACTAATTTTACAAATTATTTGTTATTAGAGCAGAAGTAGTTTCGTTGCTAATATAGAAAAAATTTGTTGAGTGTATTTATCCTAAGGATCACGCTAATTTGCTATTGATGCAAAATAATGCAAAATAATGTATCCTTAACAAATTTATTTGCTATTGGAGCAAAACTGCAACTTATATATTTGCTTATATAAATCCATCATGGTTCTTATAGCAAAATAATTTGTAGATTCAGCAAATTATATCCAGCAAATAGTGATTAGTACTCTTAGCAAATCTTTTTGCTGTCTGTATAATAACGAAAAGATTTTGCTAGACCAGCAGAAAATTTGCTGGGCAAGCAAATTATTTTTTTTCCGTATACATTTAAATATATATTTTATATATATATACTATATTTTATATACATACATACATATATATATATATATATATATATATATATATATATATGTATGTATGTATTTAAATATAATATAAAATATAAATATAATATAAATATAATACTATACAGATATTGTCCTATGTCGACACTACAAATAGTTACTTATTGTTTTCTCCGCGCTGAGTAAAAAACACTTATTTTAGAATTATTTAATATTTGATTTTGTTTCAATATTTTACTTGCATTTTATTTTTATTCTTACTTTTAATCAGAGCAATGTATTATTCTCTTTATAAAAAGTCTAATTACATTAAAATAAAAAATCTATGTAATAAATAATATGACATACCAGGGAATACATGACGTATCGCTGCCTTCGTCCTCGGCACCCTCGCTTCCTAATCCCGCACCCCGTTCTTCATTGCTCCGGATACGATCGTGGCACTGACACTCGCGTACATGTGCGATGATTCGATCGGAGAAACACGTGTTAATAAACGCGATGCCGACGAGGATACAATTCAATATTACAAGAAGTGACAGGAAATTTTACTCACTTAACTAACATACCGACATGCGTACTCCGCGCTGTACGTATCGTTCGTCGGCTCGGGACGTACTGGAAATCCTCGGAAAAGTAAACGACGCATGAGAAGTTTGATCGTCTTGCTGAAGGTTCGCAATGTTTTGGAAGTATTGATTGTTGTTATTGCTCGGCCGCTCAATAGTGGCTCAATAGTGGCTAATGACAACTGACGACTAACGGAAGATAACGTAGCCTTTTTTGCAGATTGTTTTGATATTCTCGTGTGTCGCGCGTATATCAGTGACTATGTGTATCAATGAATATTCGTGTGTCAATGCGTTACCGTATATTCCCGTTGGGTGATAAATATATTTAGACCGCTCTTTTGAAGTTTTTATCGGTCTCTCGTCTGCATCGCGGTAATTAACATTTATTTCTCGAATATTACCGCACTACACAAGTGCCGGTGCCAATGTCACTGCCACGAATGAGTATGCCGTAACGGAGCAACGGAGAACGGTAATTCATAGTTACAATAATTTGCAACTACGAATACCGGTCTTAGAATCTAGTACAAATCTCGCGAATCTCGCGTTAGCTGCTTTTTACCTCTAATAATGCTACTTGGGTCGCGAGGCGTTCTATGTCGAGCTCGCTTTCTTTCTATTTCTGTTTAGCCTTGTTGTTATGTACCGAATCTAAAGGACGACGAGTAAAATAAGCCAATTTTTACCTAAGAAAACTAAGTTACACATGCAATCTTACGTTTTTTAGGTCACTGCGGGATGAAGGTTGTACCCCTCCCTTATGAGAGCATTCGTTTGATTAGTTTAGCATAGTTTCACTTCTCCACTGTAGCGACACTGCTTTAGGTCACTGAATATTATAATACTGAATAGTATAATACGATGGTGGACGGATAAAAATTGAAAGAATCTTAAGTTTTATAAGATGTGTACCTGCATATCCTGTATTTTAATCCTAGGTATATACACAAAGGACTCCAGCTACTTTTTTTATTATAACTCCGGTAAAAATCGTATTTTGACTTTTTTTCCCGATTATTTATAGACTGATAAACACATATATTTATTAAAAATTTGAATTAAATTATAATAAGCATCACATGATAAAGACGTGTTGAAACATTAGAATTACTCATAAGTGCAAAGAAAACATCATTTTACCATAATAGTTTGAGAAATACATATCTTTTTTGGTAATAGAAATAATCGAAAAAAGTTTTCAGATTTTGAAAGGGCATATTTCAAGATACAAAGAAAAAATCTAGCTTAAATATTGGAATATTATCATGAAAATTACAAGGCTTCAAGATTGACGATTTTTCATATTTCTATTTTCTGGCGGTTTTGCAGACAAGTATAAGAGTTAGGATTTTTGTTAAAAAATACAAACTCAATAACTTGTAATGCATGTAACAGAAACAGAAAAAGAAAAACATCAATAAAACCGGCAAATAACATTCACCCAACAAGACAGTATCATTTTGGGCGTTTAGTCCATGTGTTTCTGTCTCTCAATAAAAATTACTTGTATTTTTTACATTACTTATTTAATCTAACATTTTTTAGAATATATATTTATACTATGAACTCGAATAAAATTAATTACAAAATATACTTACTTACAAAAAAATACACACTGAGGTCTGGGAGACCTCAGGCTTGCTTTACCTGTGAATTACCACAAAACTGACAGACAATTGACTGCTCCGACAGTTACTATCTACAGAGGAGACTTCAAATTTTTTTTACACGGCGGTCGTATCCTCTTTACTTATTCTCTCTACTAATACTAGAGTTTCAAACTTTGCCTGGAGTCTCAGAGAGTGTGTATACCTAGGGTTAAAGACGTTAGAATGACTAATGGTAGACTTGTACATCACACTAAAAATTCTAAAGAATTTCTTATGAAGAAATTTGACAAATTTGGAGTATTTTATTTTGAAGTATTTCCTTAGTTTTCAATGAAAAAAACTTATAAAACTAAATTATAGTACAAGCAACTAAATAATTGAAAGAAATTGTCTCTAACTGAATTACTATTAAAACTATTAATGACTTATTTCGACATCTTTAAGGCGAATTTTAACCATTTTCCTCACGAGTTTAGGCGAATAAAAATATTATCATAGTATTCAGTGACCTAAAAACTTATGTTACATTTTTAAGACCAACAGTGACTCATTTTATCTATCGTCCTCTATTGATAAACAGTTGAATACGTGACACTGTTGTCTTTTTATCCTTATATATTCCTTTTTTTTTCATTCCTTTACTTATCGAAACTTTTAACACCGGTAAAAAATAATACAAGAATGAATGAAGACAATCTATTGTTTCCAATTATATATTGCTGATAGGAATTAAAGATAAATAAAAGATTAAATGCAAGTAGAAAATAATGAGTGATAATTTTTAAGTGTCTAGTGTAATATCTTCGGATTGTTCATTGATATTTCAAGGTGAACGAAATTTGCGTTGTTAATGTAAGATCAGAATGTAAAATTTCAATTCGAGTACACGTGCTAAGAAGTGTCGAAGTCGTCTCGGGTTTAGAGAGGCTTTAAATTCGAATGTCACCGGATTACCAAGCGGCTGTTACGTTTTACCACATCGTACCTTGAAAATAAAATTACATGATCACGTAAGAAGATAAACGAGACTTGCCTATTGCGACGACGGGCGATAGGAGCAAGTGGAGAATATAAAATTACGCGAAAGTCGTGTCGCGCGAAGAAAGAGAGAGAGACCGTCGTTGCTTATTTCATCCACGAGGACGCCAATGTGACGATCGTAAAATCCCGGCGCACGAGACCATGACGACGGCGCGAAATTGCTACCGGAGCATAAAAGTGGGTTACGTAAAACGAACTCGATTACTCGTCTTTCGATTGATCTCTATAAAAATAGCGCTGATTCTCGGGGCATCCACCGACGTCGTCGACGACACACATCGCCCTTAACATGATCGCCCTTTTTTGCTTTGCAGGCGATATAGAAGACTGCCTGGTGGCTCCGGTTTCCCAAGGCCAGTTCACGCCGCTGCCAGAAGCCCTGTGCTGGGCCATTCTGGAGCTCACCTCCCAGAGGCAGGCGGCGACCTTGGATACCCTGAGATCAGCCCTCAGGAACGCCTTCCCGGCCATGCAGAGACCCAGCCGCGAGCTCGTTTACGACGCGTTAGCGAAGCTCATGCAAGAACGAAAGATCTATCACACGTCCCAGGGCTACTTTGTCGTAACGCCCGAGACCAAGAGGCTCAGGCGCGACTCCGGTAGCTCCAGGCGGTGTTCCAGGGACGTGAATGGGTCCAGGGGTCAGGGCAGCATGCTGATGAGTAACGACGAAGCGGTGGCTCTCGTGCACGGCGAGATGCTCACTCTGAGAGACGGCGATGTTACGCATCAGGCTGTACAGACGAACCTGGCGGACGTTATTTGCGGAGGTAAGAGTTTCGCGTATTTATCTTCTGACGTCATCGCGCGACTCGTTCTTTCGCAGCGGACAAAGTTCGCGATCTGTTAACGTACGTACGGCGCCACGCGAGGACTTTCGACGGAAATTATGCTCTCTCGTCGTCTTTGGAGATTTTAGTTAGCGGAGAATGCGAAGGCGCACGCGAAGATAAATGTAGTTGGGGGAGACGGCTATTATTCTCCCGGTGGATCGTATGTTACGTGCCCCGTGCAAACTTTACGCGGAAGTTGTCGTATGGGAAACTAATGTCGCGAAAATATCGGCTGTGTGCACGTCGCGCGCGTGTCAAGTGATGACGTGATTAACGCTCTCGTCTTCATCCACACTGAGAGAAGAAGTTTCGCTAATTCAACGAAATATCCGCAACATGTAATTTGTTCATATGGGACAGCGAATGACCCCCCGTAGTGCGAGCAATTTATTCGTTGCTTTCAATTTGCTGCTCTAAGCAAAAACTTGTGCAATGGAGGCATAACTAACCTAGCTTAAGTAGACGAGAACAAATGTGATTTGTATTTGTAGGCAGTGTAGTCTGTCAAAATGACAAACAGTGAGAAATGATTTGCGACGGTAACTGTTCGGTCTATTTCCTTAACAATCGTCAAACAACGAACGCGCTTTTATTCTCATAATTGAGGGATTTTTCCCGCAGTAGTGCAGTAGTTGCACGAGGTCCTCCGGGACTTATTAGAACGGGTCTTATTAGAACGTCGCGTATTCGTTGTCACCTGAGCTGCGCGAAACTTATCCACAAGGGAAAGTTCACCGTGACCATGTTTTCCGCTGAAGCGGCAATCGCGCGATATCAATCGCGATCGTTAATTGTAAATTTATTGGCCGTGTCGGCCAATTTAAACGCGTTTTCACGTAAAGGCGCGAACGTGTGTTGGAGTGAAATATTCTCGAATATTGTGTTCACAGACAGGGAACGGATGAGGAGTTCGCGAAAATGACTCTTGGCAATAAATATACGTGTAGTAAAAAGAGATCAACCAACACTTGGAGTTGCACTGACAAGCGTGGGAGACAGAAACACCCTCTCATGATATGTAGAAGCGCGTTCGCGCGCTTACACTTACGCATTCAAATTGGCACGATTCCATCTCGCGTGATTGTCGTAACGGCGCGAAGCCGGTGCGGACGAATAAATGCGCGCAGCCGAGACCGAGTCGCTTTCGCCGTGTCTCGTGATAGGATGCACAGGAAGCCGAGCCCTCGTAAACTCGAGGAGGAACTCGCCCGGCAGACCGGTCGGTCCAGGCAAACTCGTTCGGCACGTGTTCGGGAAACGTTTCGATTGTCCAGGAGGAGCTCACTAGCTGCTCGCTCCGTTCAGGCCTTTTTCTCCTCTCGACTCGACGGACGGGTCGAGAGAGCGTTTATGTTGTTGTCGTCCTTGGTAGCCACGCAACTCCAGCCGCCGGAAGATCGTCAATTCCTCTCGCGACGCGACCGCCGCACGAAAAATCACCGTGCGATCTTAATTTCGCTTTTTGCCGCGTTCGCGGAAACCCCCGCAGCGAGAGCGACGTTCGCTTCGCTGCCGCGTGTCCACCTTCTCGTCTCTGCTCCACGTTGTCGGTGACTTCTTACGCGCCCTGAGCCAGAACTTCGGCGGGGCGGGTGGATTATGAGAAGCCGATCTGATTGCAATTTCGATTACACGCGAGAGAAGCCACCTGTCGTCGCGCTTTACCACCTGACAAAAAGCACGCGCATCTCAATGTATCTCCGGTCGGGACCTCGGTATACCACAACGACGACGCACGCGGAAACTTCTTGCGGCTACTCGCGTGTTCTTTTTTACATATGTCAGTATGCACGTGTACGTATGTGTGTGTGTGTATGCATATACACGGGGAATAGAGCCGCCAGCATTGGCACAGCACACGTATTAGTACGAGACGATCCAAGGAATAAGGAAAGAGAAAACGAGAAGAGGAGAAGAAGCATGCGAGAGAGAGAGAGAGAGAGAGAGAGAGAGAGAGAGGGAGAGAGAGAGACAAGGAAGAAATGAAGAAAGAGAATGAAGCCGACGATGCCTGGAAAGCGTTTAGCACAACCGATATATTAGCTATTGGTCACGACATTGTCTACCGTTACATACGCCGTCGACATCACGTGGGGGGGAGGAGGGGGAGGGGGCCACGTATATAATCTTCCTACTTTTCTCTTACTCGTTTCTCGACTGATTCTCACGCTGGTAACCCACTCGTCGGTACGTCGGCGTATCGCCCGTGGCTATGTACCGAGATGAAACTCAGGAATGAGGGTATTCCACTTTTTTTTCCCCTTTTCTTTTCCCCCTTTTTTTATTCTTTAAGGACGCAGTTGCAGCGATCACCGCTCGGCCGCGTCGCGATATTAACCCTTTTCACCGCGTCGTCCCACCGTTCTGAAATTTACACGTTCTCCGCGGAACTTCCTGCTACCTGCCGGCGCGTTTGACGCGGCAACCTGGATTTTTCTAACCGACTTTCCCGTCACAAGACCATACCTCGCGCCAATATCCGTTTTACTAAGCAGATGCCGCGAGGAGAGTCTCAGGAGAGCAATTGTCGCCGTGTCTCCCGAATTGAGCGCTTACTCATATTTGATTGCACTTATAACGCGATCATGTTTGCTGTGACAACGTTAGAGCTGATTTCGATCGTTTTTCCGACAGGGAATCCCAACGACAAGGTCCTATTCGCCAGATGCCGGTCGATGCCAGGCCGTCTCGAGAGGCGACACTCTTTGCGGCTTTGGGGATCGGCTAGACGTTTGCATAGAAGCGGAAGTTCGCGGTCTCTGCCACGGAGACCCGAAAGGAGCGACACGTCGTCCAGCGCGGAATACGCCAGCACGGACAGCGCGCCTCACAGTCCAACCAGTGAGTCTGATCGGGGAAGGGATTGCGTGGTGATGGGTGACTGCTTGATGGGAAAGGAATCCGTTGAAAAAATATCCGCCAATTGTACATAGTTATCTCTCCGAAGGCACAATTTCGTCTGGAAGCTCTGCAGCTCTTGAACGTTCGCGCAAATGCATGCATGTACAAGGTAGACTTCTCGATCATTTCGCTATCGCTTCGAGACTAATGAACGTCTCGATATACATCGAGATAGCTATGAATGATTGTAGCGTTAAGTCAGCATAAATGCCCCTTGCGAAATAACACTGTGTGTGTGTGTGTGTATATATATATATACGTTTGATATGTAACGTCCGCCGTTAGTCGTATGCGAGGGACGACGATACAATCCAGATTGAAGCTTCTTAGTCACCCTATAGCTGACGAGCCCTTCCCCGATCCTCATTATCTTGGAACGAAATGCAGCAAATCCAAATCCCTTCCTCAAGGCTTTTCTGGGATTTTTTCAGAGAAGATAGGCCTGCTCTCCAGGCTCTTTCGGCGAAGCACACGGAGGAAGGGCGCACCGTTAATGGGCACTTTCAGTGCTCAGTATCCCCCCACCGAATGGTTTAATCCGCGCGTCGTGCATTTGCATAGCGTTGCCACGCAAACAAGGGCCGCCAGTCCTTCGGTAAGTTGCACACAGGTATTTGCCAATAAGAACTAATAAAAGGCACTTCTTACACGGTGCTTGTAGCGCCGCGAGGCTAATTAACCGGTTCCCTCTGATAATTGATAAAAAGAAAAAAAAAAAGGAAAAGAAACCCCGAAACGACAACATTCTCGGCCGTTAATAATCTTAAAGTTAGAAATATCGTCTTACGACGAAAACAGCGGGCTCTTGCAAATAATTCGAGCGATTTAGCCGGGACCTAAACGTGGGATGAAATAGCCACGGTACCGAGCAATCGAACGGCGAGCTCGGATCGATTGAGCCTTTTCTTTTCTTTTTCAGATGATGGAGGGCTTAGACCAGTCGCAGGCCAGTTTCCAAGTGTGGGACGACTCGAGTTCCGTGCGATCGGCCACTTTGCCGAGGCGACATCGGCGTCAGGCCAGCGGTGATTCCTCGAGCTTGTTGGCCAACTCGACGCCAAGGAGCTCTCGAAGACATCGGTCACCGTGCTCCACCTTGCCGAGGTCCAAGTGCTCCAGCCTGAGTAGATGTACGTCCAGAGCCTCCGTTTTGCCGCCCAGCACCACCAACCAGGAGGCATATCAGGCGCGCAACCAAGTGCAAAACGACAAGAACTCAACGAACTCATCGCCCAGTAGAAGCGGCGGCAGTTCTGGCTCAGTTAGGACGATGAACGCGAGTCCGGCCAAGACGACGACGTTAGGCAGACCCAACACGAGGCAGTCCAACTCCAGAAGGCCGAGTCACGATTTCAGCAACGGCGGCGCAAAGTCTACCAACGGCTCTCCGCAGCATAAAGTGGGTTTAAGTTGAGCTCTCTTAAGTATAACGCGAACACACGTTTATTGGTACTTATCTTACGCTCAGTTAAATTTATCTTTACTCAGATTTTTTCTTCCCTGTTTTTTCTCTTTTTTTTCTAATATATGATCATCCTATATTTCTATATTGTAGCGTTATTATAAGTCTATTATCCGCGCAATGTTTTTCCGAGTCATCGAAAAATTCTTGCAGCATTCGCAGTTAATTCAATTAATTCGATTGACGAGCAGATTAGTTTGCAAAACGCATATAGTTTTTCAGTTGCACTTCAATATGTGATGCATGTATGTGACGGCTTATATGGACGTTCATCTCTTCATCCGCGCTTTCAAAAAATTAGAGGGGCATTGATACCGTCGGTCTGAGTCCTTTACCTGTTGAGTTCCTTAATCATCGACTGATGTTGTTTATTCAACGATCGGAGAGCTGTACGTTTAGATAATTCTTCTAATATAGTTAAGAATTTATAATGCTATGTGCACATCTAGAACGTTCCTTTACAGCACGAGAAATATAATAGAGATTTTGTTCTACCTTTTCTGACAATAATATACGTAAAGCAGTCTCTCTTTTTATAGAGAAAATGTCTTTATCGTAAGTCTTTATTTGAAGAGAACTCGCAAATATGTTTGTGAATATGTCTTGTTGAAAAATATTTCGGTATCGATAATTTTAAAATTTTAATATTCTGAAGTTTTACTATTTTAAAGTACTCTAATGTGATAGTACAGATTCGTAATCTTCTTCTTTGTGTTCCTTTTACTATTCTCGAATAAAGCAACTTTTATCGTTCCAAGGTCCTACAAAAGACTTCGTCTGGCCATTCATCGCACTCCAGCGGCAAGTCCGTGTCCAGCAGCAAATTGACTTGCTCACCACTGAAAACGGCCACGCTGTCGACAAAGTCGTCGCCGCTCAAAGTCGTCCAGCAAGGTTCGCTGACTCCTTTGCAAGAGGCGCAAAACTCGATTACCCTTCAGGTATCCACGAATCTAAGTCCGGTAAGCCCGTCGCAAGAGCAACGTGCGATACAGAATAGCGTGACGCTGGCCTCTAACACGACCAGCACTACGACTATTTCCGGCTCGCCCGGCACGAAGATCTACGTTCAGCAAAACAATTCACCGATGAGATCCGTGATTACTTTCGAGAACGGCACGGTGAAGACGAAGATCGCAGAGAAGGAAGTAATTGACTGCAAGGAGAAGCAGGAGAGGGAAATGGGCGAGAAGGCTTACAAGACCCGAGTGGATGACGAGAAGCTTTTCAAATCCAAGTTAGACGAGGAGAAGTTGAATAAACCAGTTAAGGCCGAACGGCCGTCATCGCTTTACGCTCCGAAAGAACCAAAAGTTGGCCTATTGCTATCCGAATCCGACAAGGAGAACAAACCGAAAGTTGAAGAAGAAGTGCCTAACAAGCTGAAGCTAACAAACCGCCTAAACAACAGTCAAGCCCACCTGATCGACGGTTCCACTAATAACGTCGACAAGAACGCGCTGGCGCACGAGCACTCGGCCGCCGCGCTGTCTACCACGAAGAATACGAACGATGCGATGAACAATTCCCGTAAGCTTAGCCTATCACTGTCCAAGGACGCGTTGAGCTACCGCAACCTGCTGCATCCCGGTTCAAAGAACAACATCGCGTCAAATCCGCCATCGCCCACCAAGTCATACGACGGCTTCGGCGGCTCCTTCAACGACGTCTACATCGAGAATCTAGAGACGGCGAAGCAGCAACGAGCACCGCAGGGTTCCGAGCCTAATTTAGAAAAGACTGTAAGCCGAGCGGATCTGCACTCCTATCCGAGCCTCAGCGACATGCAGGTGCAATTCACCAGCTTGGCGGCGCAGAAGATCCTCAAGGGCTGCCCGATCAACAGCGTGGACACCTTGGTGGAGGTGAACATGGCGGCTGCCGACAAGCCGAACAACTGCGACGTCACGGTTCACACGGACTTCGGTCTCGTTTGAATTATCTTATCCTCGTAAACATTCCGTCGATCGTGTACCATCCATCGCGGGGGCGCAAGTACCTCTCGCAATTTCTTCCTATCCCCGGACACATTGCGTCCATAGAAAACGACTAGGCGAACAATATCGAAGAAACTTCGCTAATGTCTTGCTTCTCATACAAGATCGGGGAATAGGGAGTTATTTTTCTGTTTCTTTCTTTCTTTAGTGGGAAGGCCACGGCTTGCGTAAGAATGTTAGACGGAACACGCAGTTAACAGTTACCATAGACTTGTCGCCTATGTACATCTCTTCCCTGTGTCTTCAACGAGCGTACGTGTTCCCGAACAATCGCTGTGCCAGTCCCGCTTGTGTTATTAGGACGAATATGTCGTAGGGAAGATCACGTATGCGAGAAAGCAATCGTGCGGCCTAAGTTCAAACTTGCTTGCCTTACCGAAATTGCCTTATCGAAATACGTCTCTGCCCGAAAAGAAAAAATCCTGTCTTCGAGATATCTTATATATTTCTAAATTCTCTACTCTCAACCAATCAACTACTCAAGTGATGTGTCAATCAACTACTCAAGTGTTTACGGAATAAAAACGTAGGATATATTGAATTTTGTTTTAACGATCTGTGCTCTCAAAAATCCACTGAAATAATTAGGGAAGCAAAAGTATGTTTTAGTTAATTGTGAAGGCAAGCGGTTGACACCGTCCCGTATTTTGCACTTTGAAAGGTATCGTAAAGATAAATTCTTAGGAACGCTTTCCTGGTAACCCCTTTCGCTATTTAGAGACTCACGAGACATTCCCGATACAAAGTTTATCGTTGTTTATCAGTTTGCAGTTTTGTATTCGAAATATCTTACACGAATTCATGGGTCATGCGCCTTATTATAGTTGTAACGTCGGCGGTTTTGCATCGCTTTACCGAGTTAAAGCGATTTGTCAAAGCATCATCTCGCATGCAACAATATGCGCAACCCGTAAATATGATGAAAGAGAAACGAAGGGATGGAAATTTTACCGAATTAAAACACTGCCATTTTACACGCGCACGATCGTCGTTTGAAACATTCCATTAATCATTTTGGCCGTAGTTATGCGAAAATGATCCAATCCACATGGCTACGTTCCAAAACTCTATTCGACGAGTAGAGTAGCATTTAATTGATCAATCCGAACAAAAAGAAGATTTCTTTGATTGATTAATTGAATGTTACTCTACCCGCCGAGTAGGATCTTGGAAGCCCTGGAAGTACATTTCGAGAGAAATGAAGATGAGAATTCAATATATGATTTTAAAAGTATAGATAGCATGGAAGTTTTCTCTCTTCGCAATCATTCAAGAAGTCAAGCATGGTCCATTTTTTCTCTTTAAAGGTTTTCATTGACAAGCTTAACTCTTTAAAAAAATGAGTAAAAAAATGCAATTAGTAGAAAATAAAAACTATTTTTTAATTAACTTTAGACGCCCATAAGGCTTGAATCTTTTTTGTTTTATGTAGAAAGATATATGGATTACCCAGTGATAAAAAATCAATTTTATGAATTGGATCATTTTCGCATAACTATAGCCGTTTTTTTTCACTTGTATATCATCGCGATGATGAAGACGCTGATTTTCAGCTCTTCATAGTTCAAAGTGAGGTCAAGTGATACAATGAAATTTTAGTAGCGAGATTATGTATGTATGTAGGAGTTCTTATGAAACGACAGCGATAATTTCTCGAACAATAATGTCGCAATAAAGCGGGGAACAATGCCTTTCAATAACGACACATTATTAGTCTCGTAACAAGGCAAGCTGGAGACACGCGACCTACCGACTCTTTTTATTTTTTTGCGAGTATAAAACGATTGACTTATATAATACAATCGTTTTACATTCGTAAAAAGATAAGAAAGAAAGACTGGTGAGTCGCGGCTTCTCCTTGTGTAAACACACACAAGCATAATTATATAATAAATTAATTACCGTCCCCCCGAGAAAATCGTAACATAGCAAAGAGAAAAAAATCAAGAATGATCTGTGCTGCATAGCCGCAGAGATATTTGATATCAAATATATATATATAATATACATAGCGTAGAAGGGCGTTTACTTGGAACGCGCAGTCGGTACCATTCGCAATTAGTGCAATCGTAAATCTAAGTGCCAAAACTATCGTAGTTTACTTAAACGACCGCCTTAACAATTCCGTTTCGCACGGCGACTTCGTAACGCAGACACAAATGCGTTCTCTCCGCGACGAAAGAAAGTAACGCCGAGCGTTAAATCGCGAAGCCGTAGTCTTAAAAGCCGACATATTAGGCAGATACGACTGGAAGAAAACAAAAAAGTGAGGAAGACGTGTCCGCTTTGTACATTTCATACTCTGTATCGCAGATTAACCGATCGGTGATGGTTCACAATCCCTTGTTCATTCTATCTTAAGATAGGAGACGCTGACTTTCTTTTATGTCACGAGCTTTCTTTTCAATGTTCACACATGTGTATTTATTATTGCGTTTTCTCTATTATAATCATATTCCAAATTATAATCATAATCATGATAATTATAAAAACAAGTGAATAAAGAAAATGTGTTTATTCGAAAAATATATTTTTTATAATATAATATATTACCCTAGCAGTACAATACATTGGGCTAATATTGAACCCATAGTCAATGTAAAATCCAATCTATGGTAGCCAATTGTTGGTCAATTAATATGTGCTGCTCGGGTATGTGCTTCTATTACTTAGTTTAATTTTACTAAATTTTCTATAAAAGGAGAAAAAGTTACATATACTGGGAAAGATAACAATGATATATTTAGGAAAAGTTTCAATTAAAAAAGATCACATTTTCTTAAACATACAAATTTTGTAACGCATTCATAATGTATTGCCTTTATTCACTTGTATCTGAGTACTTTTATTTGAGAACTATGTGTCCACTGATTGACGCAAACAATTAACATGTGCTGTAATTTGTAAATTATCATAATCATTACTCATAATAACTTACATTATGATACATATATATGCATACACACAACACACACACACACACACACACACATATATATATATATATATATATATGAATGAAAGAATGATATCAAGTAATATATTAATAGCATCTTAATAACGTCTCTCCCCTTGTCCACAACCTTGCTTTAATCTTTTAGCCTATTTTTAATAAATTGACCAACTACAGTCGATTATTTTCAAAATAATCAACTGTTGGTCAATTTCTTACGATGAAAGAATTAAAGCAAGGTTGTGGAGAAGGGGTCTAACGTCAATAATAACATTAAGACATCTTTAAATGTCATGTTACTTGGACTCTTAAATCAATCCACATAAATTCCTAATTTCTGAAAATATTTTAATCTTCAACATTCTGCATTTATATTGAAATTGCTAGTAATGCTGAAGATTGAAATATTTCCAGAAATTAGAAATCTATGTGGATTGATTTAAGAGGTAGCATGACATTTAAAGATGTCTTAATGATGTTATTACCCAAATAGCACAGATCTCCACAGGACATCTTAAAGATATTCTGAGAATGTCTCTATGTTCTGAGAACGTTCCCAGAACATCCTCAGGAGATCTTATGCTGTCTGGATATTGATGTTAGAGACATTATAAAGATATTATTAGTACATCACTTGACATCACTCTGCTCTATACCTGGGCAAGGTTCAACTAAACAAATTCTAAAGCAAAATCTGAAACTATTGTCATTAGAACAAAGAGAAGTATATCTTATATTTTAATTTAAACCATATTTTTTTCACAAAAGTCGGCGTCTATGAACAGGAAAACGTGTGAATCCAATGCCTCTTATCTCTTATCAAAACTAACTTGTAGAGTATCATTGTATAATCTTACTTTCGAATCATTATAACAACGAAAATATATTAACAATAATAAAAAAATATAAGAAAAAATTTGTGTTTCATTATTTTAACGTATTTTATTAAATGGAGACTTACTATTGTGATGCACGAGATATTTTGTCGATTATAACTTTCCTCGAGATGAGCCGACGTCCTTATCTCCTAAACCTCAAACACGTAATTCGCTCGGTACGTCTTGTAAATCGAAAGACACATGTTTTAGATTATGAAGGATCGTATTGGCTAACGTTTAAACGATATCCCAAATTACCTGTCATAGCTTTCGGATGTGGAACAATTAAATCTGCACGAGCGGGTTGCAGCACGTCCTTTCATTCCGCACACAAAATTATTGATTAAGGCAATAACTCAATGCGCGGCAACAAAACAGATAGAAAATTCAAATCAAATTCGAGTGCACCAATAAAATAATAGCTAAGTTGCCAACCTAGGGTAATTCACAAAGTGTAAATAAGAACAAAATGGACGATTTTCATGAAATCCTCTAGCTACCGTTGAGATTTTACTCGAATCCCTAGACACGACACCTGGGCTGCGTTTAGATTCCATACCTGGGTGTATTCTATTATTAGAAGTGCTATAGTATATGTGACATATACTATAATGTTTCTAATAATAGGGTGTACCTGGATGAAGAATCTGAACGCACCCCTGTGTTGGGATTCTGTAAATCGTTATTGGAGTTAACGAGAGTTTCGTTATCGTTGCGCAACTTTTATACTATATACAAAAGCTGCGCAACGATAACGAAACTGTCATTAACTCCAATAACGAGTTACAGAATCTCAGCACTGGAGTACTATTTGTACATGCTCAGAGTGCGTTCCCACTTAGCGCATCACGCGTCGCGTCGTCCATCGCGGATCAATAAAATCATCCAATTTTATTGCCTAATTTTACGATGAATAAAATGAGACGATTTGATTGCGATTTGATTGATCCGCGAAGATCGACGCGACGCTTGACGCGCTAAATGGGAACACACCCTTAGGTTGAAGTTCAATGGCACGTATTTACGCGTAACCGCGTAACTAATCACATAGTTCTATTCCTTTAGAAGTTCCAACAGAAATACTAAACATCGCAATATATTGTTTACGCGCTTACGCGGTACGCGGAAAATACATGCCATGGGACTCCACCCTCAGGCTTCTCTTTGCTACCCACCATTGTCTGCCTTCATTCGGGTGGGATTTCCGCGTAACGCGTAACCGCATAATCAATCACATCTTTCTATTCTTTTAGAAATTCCAACAGAAATACTAAACGTCGCAATTTATTGATTACGCGGTACGCGGAAATACATGCCATAGGACTTCAGGGCAGCGATCACGTTACTTCGAGCGAATCTTTTCACTTTTTATTTTTCGCTCTATCGATTTCACATGAACTTTTTCACTGCGCATGCGCGAGAATCCGAATATAAAGCTAAGATGGATCTAACATTATGGGCGCCACTTTGGGATATCGGCAAATTATTTTCAACATTCTGGGAGCGATACTGAGGGAGTAGAGTAACACTAACTCTCCTTGTCATTCAGGAGACGATGTACAGCGAAATACGCACATTTGACGTTTTTGCGAAACTGAACTCTCACGACTACGAAAATTACTGTAAAGGATCGTGAAAAATTACCCTAGAATGTGCTCTACATGCTACACTACAGGCGTTTTTTCGTTTCGTAACCACGGTAGTGTTTGGTTGGTTAGTTTGGTATACTTAACGCCCGTATCAGACTACCGACTGCACAGGCCGACCCGAATGCCGACTCTCAATGGACCAATCACAATGAGACACCGAGTCGGCGCCTTACTGTGATTGGTCCATTGAGAGTCGGCATTCGGGTCGGCCTGTGCAGTCGGTAGTCTGATACGGGCTTTACGCTCGCAACGCTGTGAGCGTCATTCTATCTTTGTTACTCGAGGTGTTGCGAGCGTTAAGTGGACCAAACCAACCAACCAAACGGTATCGTGGTCACGGAATGAAAAAACGCCTTATATAACCTAACCTGGGTGTCGATTGTGTATCTCGAAACGGAATGAAAATTACAAAACTAAGCAAATTAATTAGACATTGACTAACGAAGTTATAAATATTCTAGTAAATTTGCACACTTTTGTCATTTTCACTTTGTTTTGAAATACACAATCGACCCCCTGAAGTAACACGACCGACTTTCGGCCCATGCACAGAATAAATACCACTGCACATGCGCGCGAATACGTATGCGCTACTATGGCGGATCTAACGTTATGGAGGTGATGTTGGAAAAATATTTTCAAGGTACTGGGTGCGCTACAGAGTCACACAAACACGCGTTGTCACGCCGGAAACGATACAGAACAAAATAAGCATATCTGACGTAATTTTCGAAAATAGACCTTTTCAAAGGCGAATGTTTCTTTAGAAAACCCTAAAAAACTATCCCAAATAGTGCTCTCTACGCTAACGCGAAATAACTTATAACCTACCATAACATAGCCTACTTTCGACCTATGCGCAGTATAAGTACCACTGTGCATGCGCGAGAAGCCGTATGCGCTACTATGACGGATTTAACGTTATGGGGGTGATTTTCGGGTGTTGGAAAAATATTTTCAAGGTACTGGGTGCGCTACAGAGTCATACAAACACACGTTGTCACGCCGGAAACGATACAGAACAAAATAAGCATATCTGACGTAATTTTCGAGAATAGATCTTTTCAAAGGCGAATGTTTCTTTAAAAAACCCTAACAAACTATCCGAAATAGTGCTCTCTACGCTAACGCGAAATAACTTATAACCTACCAAAACATAGCCTACTTTCGGCCTATGCGCAGAATAAGTACCACTGTGCATGCGCGAGAATCCGTATGTGCTACTATGACGGATCCAACGTTATGGGGGTGATTTTCGGATGTTGGAAAAATATTTTCAAGGTATTGGGTGCGCTACAGAGTCACACAAACACGCGTTGACACCCCGGAAACGATACAGAACGAAATAAGCATATCTGACGTAATTTTCGAAAATAGACATTTTCAAAGGCGAATGTTTCTTTAAAAAACCCTAAAAAACTATCCCAAATAGTGCTCTCTACGCTAACGCGAAATAACTTATAACCTACCATTACATAGCCTACTTTCGACCTATGCGCAGTATAAGTACCACTGTGCATGCGCGAGAAGCCGTATGCGCTACTATGACGGATCTAACGTTATGGGGGTGATTTTCGGGTGTTGGAAAAATATTTTCAAGGTACTGGGTGCGCTACAGAGTCCCACAA